TACTCTAACCCAAAACCCTAAGTGTCTATATGCAAACCTGGGGGGGGGGGCACAGGTACAGGAGGCAAGAGTGGTGCCATCSGGCCACCTATAGCCATGAGTGCCCACCTTAAGTTCCTATATGTGAATTTCATGAAAATGTTATGAGTGAATGTTTAAGATATACAATAAAATTTGGGGCCCAGGTGTTTGTTTCTGAACGAGTGTTTTTTTTTTTTTGTTTTGTTTTTTTTTTGGTTTGGGAAGCAGAAACGTGGGCGGGAAGGTGGCAGCGAAAACAGGACGTGGATTTTCACACCAGCGTCACCTCCTGCTGCGAACACAAACATCGACAGCAGGAGGAAGAAGAGCTGACTGGACACGGAAAGAGGAAGCTCAAAGAAGATTTAAACCTGTTAAAACCCTGATATTCCCTGGTGGCTGTGGAAGAAGCATCATCAGATGATAAATATTTTACTCTCAAACGAAGGGTCGTCCTCCCGTCTGTGGATCTTTGAGTTTACCTGTCGGTGGGTTCAGAAGCTGCCTCCCCTCCTCCCTGCTCAGCAGTCAGAGCCGTGACGTCCGGCATCCCCACCCGCTCCAGGAAACACAGGTCTGGATCGGCCCGCATGGCGTTGTACCGCTCGTACCCTGACCCCGGACACAGACGCAGTTAGGACAGAGAAAAACACAAAACTCAACTCTCTTTGGATGCTGACACAAACATTAATACAGTAAATCACATAAATTATGATTCAAAGATATTTCCTGGGTTTGTCTCTATACAGGTTAGAAACAAAAATAATTATTGTTTTCTTTATTTTATGGGTCGATTAGCTGTGGCGGCCATCTTGAATTGAGGTTAATCATGTGACAGAGTGTTGAACACACAAAAAGTCTGATAAACTCGTAGCTCTCATTCGTTTTAAATAATTACAACTAAAATAAAACTCACCGTGTTTGTGGACCCCCAAGAGGAGAGACTTGTCCGCGTCTGCGTCCCACCAGGTCACAGGAATCTCGATGTAGTCGATGTCGGGCAGCGCCACGTCCAGTTTACTGTCAGGCAGTCAGAAGGGGAGAAACCATACAGAAAACTTAGGATTCAGTTCAGTTCCATACTTTAGTCTCACGGTTCAATATCTTTTTGACACAAAAAAGAGAAATGTCCATGTCCTTCTTGTAAGTTATTAATTCTAAACATTTGTTTAACCTCAAAAGTCCAGTTTTTCAATTAAATGTTAAAAATCTGTATTGAGCAATACACAGTGTGTGTTGTTCCATACACAGTGTGTGTTGTTCCGTACACAGTGTGTATTGTTCCGTACACAGTGTGTATTGTTCCATACACAGTGTGTATTGTTCCATACATAGTGTGTGTTGTTCCATACACAGTGTGTGTTGTTCCGTACACAGTGTGTATTGTTCCATACACAGTGTGTATTGTTCCATACACAGTGTGTATTGTTCCATACACAGTGTGTATTGTTCCATACACAGTGTG